GCCTTTCATAGAGTTAATTTTCTGGCTCCCGTTGTGCCTGGCTTTTAGGTTTTTTCCTACTCTAATGATGTAAGGGTAATTAATACAGCACATCTGCGTGGTCATTTATCCAAGTTAAACGGGACCACAGGGTGCTGTTTCTGTACAGCCAGAGGGTGCGATACAGCATTTGTGCTGCTTCATCCTGCTCTGCTGGCAGCAGTGAATTCCCCTCAGAGCCCGTTGGTGCAGAATGAAAGCACCCAGTTTCCTTTTGAGTCAGCAGCAGGGAGTGTTTTGTCTTGCAGAGCTGTGGTGCTTTTTGACTCGGTACTGGGAACCCAGCAGCTCGATTTGTCGTGTTGTTGCAGCATAATAAACAGACGGGAGGGACTGGCCCCCGCTGAGGAGCTGGGGCGGAGTGAGCAGAGTTCCTCCTGGGCGAGCTGGGAGATTGCTAGATCTGTTCTGCCCAGAATCTTGAAATAGTGTGAGGCAACAAGAAAAGGGGGGTTTCATGGTGTGAACTCCAGCTGTTCCTGCTTCCTGGGGTGATGGTGAGCCCGAGATCCTGGGCGGGACAAGGATTTGAATGTCTTTTCTTCTCCACAGAGCACCTTGAGTGATGCCCAAGAAGTTCCAAGGTGAAAACACTAAGTCGGCTGCTGCCCGCGCGAGGAAAGCTGAGGCCAAGGCAGCAGCCGATGCCAAACGTCAGCAGGAGCTGGAAGATGCCTACTGGAAGGATGAAGACAAACACGTGATGAGGAAGGAACAAAGGAAGGTGAATGGCTAGTCAGGTAGCAGGGTGGCTTCTAGCTGGTCCTCTGCTAAGCCCGTGAGACCCAGGCGTGCTCAGAAAGGGGGGCTTCTCCTCTGTCCCCCAGCTGTAGCTGTCTCTGCACGTTGTGCTGTGCTTAGTCTCAGGCAGAAGAGCTGGAACTAGTGGCTTCTCTGGGAGCTAAAAGAAGCTGAGTGTGGGAGTAAGTGTAAGCTTTGATGTGTAATTCGGAAATCTGGTGGATCTTCGAGCTGACTTCCTGAGGGAGGCAGTAAAAGCTTTATTGCTGGAATCATTTAAAACATCAGGAACTCTGCTGCAGAGCTTGATTTTTGACCCAGCAGTTCTTTAGCATCTTTTCCTTTCTTCTCTGTTCTGTTCTTTGATTTTTGTAGAAGGAAAAAGAAAGCAGCAGGGTTCAGGATTAAAAAGCTTTTTTTTTTTCTCCTCCCTAACTTGGTGTGCCCTACATCAGGACACGTCCCTCGAGAGATTTGAATTTGCTCTTACCAGCTTACTCTGCCCTGGGTGCCTGTTTGCCTCAGTGCTCAATAAACAGAGCACTTCAGTGCTCATTTCTGGGTTATTTGGTTTTTAACATCATCCTGCATCGGCATCAGAGAAATCTACCTTCTGGTTTTGTGGATTTTTCCAGAAGTTGTTGGTGATAATTTAGGTGCCTCTTCTGAAATGATTTCTTTACCTTTGTGCGTACAGGTGGGGCTTCTGTTGGTGACATAAATGGGATTTATGGGGTTACTGGGTTTGTGCTGCTCTGATTTTGGTGCTTCCTGAACTTGGAGTGTTGGTACTCGAGCGCAGTGGCTGGGCAGGCAGGGAGCCAGCATGTCCCCGTGACCTCGGGAGTTGCGTGCTCTGTACATCTGTGTGAGTTCACCCCTAATATGTGTCTTGACGTTTGGAATGTGGAGCCCTGTGTGCTGTTCCCCCACGCAATCCTGTAATGCTGCCTAATTACTTCCTGGAACAAGGACTTATTATTGCTCTACTTAAGACTTGGCCAGCACTGACCTATTTGACTGGGCTTCCAAAACAGCCTCCTGCAGGCAGACGGGCTTGGGAGCTGTGTCGTGAGCTGGGATGGCTAACTGGAAAACCAGGAGCCACCCCAGAGCTTCAGACTGGGTTTTAGAGAAACTAGCACGGCAGTTTCAGCACCTCGGCCGTCCCCTCTCCCCGTGTCAGCGCAGCTGCAGTCTCTAGGCCTGAATTTCGCCGTGTTTTAGTGTGTTTGCTTCCCACAAAGGCCCCTGGGGATGTGCAGCCCCGCAGCTCAGCTCTCTTGCCAGCAAAGCTGAGTCTAACACTACCTGCACAGGGGCTCTTCCTACTGCAGGAGCCTCGCACAGGCGCTGCCACAACCTAAGCAAAGGCCGGGGCTTTGGGGAGGTGGGCGAGTGGCCGGCAAACAGGAGTGAGTGGGTTTGCTGGGGGGAAAATAAATCAGTGAAACCTTCCTCAGCTCCTCCTCCAGTGCCATCAGGCTGGAATATCCCCATGGAGGGTGGAAGGAGCTGCCTGTGCCCCAGCGCATCCCAGCAGGGAAGGAATGTGTGACTCACGTTGTAAATGACTTTCCATCTTCATCCTAGAGAGGACAGCAACCAAACTGTTCACAGGAGTCAAACTTCCCCGCAGAAGTAGCTGTTCTGCGGGTGGTGCTGGCATGGAAATAGCGCTGCTGGCCGTGGCCATATGCTGCGGGAGGGACTCGTGTCGCTCTCGGCGACAGCACCCGGAGGAGGGGATGGCGCTGTGTGGAGGAGGCTGCTCTCAGCACCTCGCAGGCAGCGCTGAGCAGCTTTTCCCAGCTTTTCCCCAGCTCTCCGGGCGATGGCAGTAACGCATTAACACTGCCGCAGCGCACCCGTGCAGCGCCTCTGAATTCCTGCACCTCCGGCAGGCACAAGGGCCTGAAAGCCTCGGGGATGTTCTGACACCAAACCCCACGTGCCCCTTGTAATCCCTTTCCCCCCACGGATGACCAGTGGAGCCTCAGTGGAGTAAATGAGAGTGCAGAGCTCGGTTTGTGCGGCGGGGCTGGCAGCCCTGCGTGGCCAGCCAGCGCTCTCGCTGGCAGCGCTGCGCCTCAGCGTTAATACTTGGGCTTAGGGAAGATTAGTGTTGGAAACACGGCGCCTGCTGCCGTGAGGTTTGCTGTCCCCAAACGACTGTCCTGTTGTTTGCTGCGTTTTAGGGGTTCTTTAAACCCGCCACCCCCTGCTCTGAGAGCAGCCGGCCTCTGCTCACAGAGGATGACGCTCGTTTGGTGGCTCTGTGATGCATAAAGGAACATCTGAGCTAATCTCACCAGCCTGCGATGTGTGTATCCCTCCCCTGGTGCTTCAGCACAAGTCACAGCTTGTTACCTTCCCTGGAGAGCTGGAAAGCACAAAACCTACATCCTTCTGGCTGGAAGGCTCGGGGGTTTACCTAGGTAACTGCTTTTCTTTTCAAATTCAGGTGTTTTCATCCTTTCTGTCCCTTCCCACTCTTCCTGGGCAAGGTTAGGATGCAGCTCAAAGCCTGGCACTCCACGTTAGCCCCGTCACGGCGGGGTTTTCTCCCTGCAGTTAGCTAAAGTGTGTCTGGTGGTGGAACAGCTACGGACGTGCCTGTGTCCTGGGTGAAGCTGCGGGCAGGCTTCAAGGGTGACAAACTGTTCAGTCTGCTGGAGCCTCATGGGGAGAAAGGACCGGTGGAGGAGCTGGCCAGGGCAGAGGTCACGCAGACAGTCAGACCTCCTTCTCTCTGCCGACCGTGGGGTTCGCCTGTGGGCACGCGCAGGAAGGTCTGACTGGCCACCAGAGCTGTGGTGGCTGCTGGAAGGACGCAGCCAAATTTCCAGTCTCCTTCCAAAACTCCTGCTGGGGCTGTTTGGCTGAGGGAGGCCAAGCCCTTCTCTCCTTGCAGACTGCGTTTGTCCAGAGCTCTGTTTGCTGAGCCCTGTGTGCCAGGAAAGTGATTCCTCATTGTTCAGCGGCGGCTCAAACCCCCTTTGCCCGTTTCTCTCTGCCCAACGGGCTCGTGGCACCCGCAGCCCCGTCCCGCGGAGGCCTCTGGTGTCTCCGACGGGTTCACTCGGTGCCCTCGGCGGGACGGCGAAGGGAGAGCGTGCGGGGGACGTGGGAGCGAGGAGGCTTTTTGTGCTCCTGTCTGCAGGGTCTGGGGACAGATTCATGTTAAAGGCAGGGCGGGCGCTTGCGCTGGAAGAGCGCAGATGGCGCACGAGGGAGCGGTGACTCTTCTGGTGCGAGTTTTCTGCCTTTCTCGTTCCCGTTAGCCGCGGTCACGGGGTGTGGGCTGGCAGGCTGCTGTACCGACGTCCCAGCTGCGGTGCTACTGCAGGCGGGCGAGCGGTGACTTTCTCTTCCCCCTTTCCCCCCCCCTCTTCCCCCTTCCTTCTCTGATTCAGCGCAGAATTACTCAGCCCTGAGCACCAGCTTTTATTCAGATAAAATGCGAGACAGGTCAAATGACTCTTCTTCCCTCTTTGGAGGACGTCTGCGTGGTACCAGGTACGCAATACTGAAACCTGACGGCTTGAATGAGCAATGCAGGGGCGAGAGATGTAGCAGAGAGACACCTGACAGCACCAGGCTGGGCTTTAGGCCCTAAACCCAGCTTTCTGAGGCTCCGGTATCCCACCGCTGCTTGCTCTGACTCCTGCTGGCAGCAGAAGGGGTGTGTGTGACCCCGTCTCAGATACCTCAGAGCACTTAGACGTGCTCCAGGTCCCTGTGACCTGCAGGGTGTGGCAATATTGAGGGTGATCGTTACTCATGTCCAGTTTTCTAACCGTGGAACATTTCACTTAGACAAATCCCAGCCTCCTTTTCATCGAGACGTTTAAGCTGCTTCATAAAGGATGATTTGGTTTGGCCCAACCTGAGAAAACTCTTCAGAAATGAAGCTTCAGGCCCCTTGGGATTCAGGATCGACCCCAAGCTGCTGCTTTTGAGCCCTGTGCAAGGTGCGGAGCAGACCTGGATGTGACGGGCTTCTGGGGGAAACCTGAGCACGTCGATTTTACAGCTCTTGTGACAAATTAGTAACGGTGCCGGCTTATTTACTTTCCACAAATAGAAACTCAATTGTAAAATGCCAGAGCAGGGAGTAGCTCACCCCAGCAGCTGGGGGAGAGGAGTAGCTGGGGGTCCCCTGCAGCGTGGGGGGAAGCCTCCGCGCCCTGCTTGTGCCTCTGTTTCCTCTTCGCGAAGTGGATGTGTCGTCTTTGAAGAGTTTTGTTTGAAAGGAGCTCGCAGCAGCCAAGCATTATCCTTGAATTTCTGCTCTGTCAGACGGGTTGTCGTCCCAGCTGGGACTGCGTGATGTGAGGCAGGCTGCTGAGCTGGCTGCCTTGTAGGACAGTTCCCTGTCTGTAATAAGCAGGGGGAAAAGACAATCTTCTCGAGCTATAAATAACATTTCTGTTCGGAAATGTCTTGCTCCCTTCCCTGAGGTCATTAGTACTTGTGTATCCGCTCCTTATCGGTCTCCTGGATTAGTGAAGCCGCAGCCACGCCTGCAGCCTTGCCCAGGTGTTATCCATGCCAGCGCCTTCTCGGGGTTCCCTGTTCAGTCCCCCCCGAGCTGCCACGGGCAGTGTAGGGACAGTTGCTTTGCACCAGCCCCTGGGCTGGGCATGATACCAGCACCCTGGATACACAGCGCTGCTTCTCTCACCTGTGCTCTACATCTAATTAAATATTTTACTCTCCCTGGCTGTTGGACCTTCAGTGATTTCTGTGGCCCTCCTGATTTAGCACATTAATCAAAGCCCCTGTGGCTGCTCTCACTCAGTTATAACCCTGTGAATACATTTTTAGAGGGGGTAAGACCTGTCTCTTAT